CGAACGCGCGGGGCTGGGGGGGGTAAATTTTACCCCCCCCTGTTATCTCCCGAACTAACGGTCCGATTTGGAAAATTCAAACGCCAATCGAAAGCTCTCATCACGAACTACTAAAAACATGTACTTAATTTAAAGTTTGAGGTCAAGGTCAAGGTCAGGTCAAGGGTACAAATTGCAAGTTTCTACAGTATCGGCCTTGCACCGTAGTTGCCGAAGAATGGAGTCATGGACTGAGACTGATCGCCCAAAACGTGTTCTTAGGCTACCAAGACAATATTCGTTGCATACAATATCATTCAGAGGTCAAGGTCAAGGTCAGGTCAGGTCAGGTCAGGTCACCAAAAAACAAAATATAGAAAAGGGCATGTGCGACACATGTTTTATGGGTCATTTTACTCATAGAATTCAATAGGCACACTCAATAAGTGATATGGACCACCTCTGGATGAATTTCAGGTCGAGGTCAGGTCAAGGTCAGGTCAAGTGAGGTCAAATTTTGAAGTTGGTTGTTAAGGCCTAAAAAGGTGTCTATCTGATGCAGTTTTTCACGGCGAATCGAATGGTGCTATTTTGTTTCCGTACGAGGTCTAGAACTTCCAAAAAAGTCATTTTTCAAAAAATTTGTGTGTCGTGACGTCATAAAATTTTGAATAACTCCCACATTTTTGAACCGATTCTTCTAAAATTTGGTATGTAGGTGCACACAGACCACTTCTCTGACATATATTCCGGTTTTTTTCGATAATCTCAAACTTTTGGATTTTATAATGATTTTCCCAAAAAAGTCAGTTTTTTGAAAAAAATTAGGCCAAAATCCAAAATTTTCAAAAAACCGAGATAGCCATTTGATAGACAAAGTAAAATTACGTATAACCTTTTTTGTTACGTCTTGATTCCTTTAAAAATGGAGATGTTAGCGGCGTTTGAACTTTTGCCGTTTTTGAGGCGAAAATGACGAACATGACGTCACTAAAACGTCAATTTCTCAAAAAATTTCCGACGGATTTCGCTCAAATTTTCAGGGAACGTGTCAAATTGATGTAAGAAAAGGTACTGAAAGTTTGGCGGCGCTGCGCGCCGCCGTTTTTGAGATATCGCAAAAATTCGCGAGGGGGGGGTAAAATTTACCCCCCCCAGCCCCGCGCGGGTTAAGTGAGTCGTATGATCCCTTGCATTTTTTCTGAAACATTACAGCATACTAGCAGCTACTCTGATTGGAAGTGTCACTATCCGGCTGCTCAATTTCAGTTTGTTAAATGACGGTAGTAATACGAATTGGATAACAGCTAATGCTCTTGGTTCGCCCCCTCGATCTCTCCCTCTCTCTTTCCTTAGCCAGGTGGCTGACACTCTTTTGGCTCCGTTGACAGACGACTGAACTCTACCTATACCGGTGCTGGAAGAGACGGCTCACACCATCGTCCAAGCGCATAGGTCAGCGGCGCTGAGCACAGGCCGGAGCTACGTTATGACATCACAGATGACGTCACCAGGCGGCCTCTGACGTCTACTGCGTGATTTACGTGTTTGAACTGTAACATTAACTTAAAGCGTCACTCATGCAGAACTATAAAATAGCCATAAAGAGCACAGCTGAGTGATAGTTCAGTAGGGTGACCGGTTTTGCAAAAAGTTTCGAAAAGTTTTGCTCCCCAGGTCTGATCTAACGTATTCGGGGGTGCTGATCACGAATCCGGCGGAAAAAATATAAAATTCGAATTTTTTTTGACCGCCCCGGCTCTTTGAATATTTCCGGTTTTCTCAATTTTTGCATGTTTTTAAATAATATGATGAATGTAATGAAAAAATATTAACAATGTATCGCTAAATGCATGTACCAGTCGATTCGGCATACAGCGGCGTCGAAATCGGCAGGCGGCCTGCTTCACCGGCCTCGCAGGAAAGCATAAGGCTCGGAAGGTTTGCGTTAGTTACCCGATTCTCTCCATAGATGGCGCTGGCGTAGCCGCCCGCCGGCCGGTCGTTGCCGTGCCGTTCACAGCCCCGGCGGTCACTTGCGACCGTCGTGGTCGTTATGCTACGTCTATCAAAGCACGACAGAAATGTTCACTTCATTTTTGTGTTACTTCAGACATATTTTAGACCTAATGTTGAATTGGATAAATGACTATCGTGAATTGGCGAAATAGTGGAGTGCGCTCGGGAGCCATTTACAATAGCGAGGAACGTAGGTGGATTGATCTGAGTAATATATGACACTGCGTTCACTGTTGATATGAAGTTTATTCACACTATGTAGCATGAAGTCGGGTGACATGAGAACAAAGTGACTAACATACCTTGTGTACGACACATGGATGAAGCTAATGCTACTTTTTCATTTTGTTTCGGTAGGCCCGTTTATTCAGAGCGTAGCCGTCCTGTCGGTCTGCGCCTGTTACAGCTGTGACTGATTCGGTGGTCAGCTTTACAGCCCTTTCGGTGGATTGGGTATGGCAGGGGACCCCCGTTTTGGAGTCTGTAGAAAGTCGCGCAACTCATCCTCGCTCATGTGTCGTACACAAGGGGGCTCAATGTCTCGGCCCTCGTCAACCGCTCGCTGCACGTTAATCAGTTCCATATAGTTGTTCGCTTGAACGTTAATTTCCGGCAGCCGGAAGTGCCGAATGGGCTGCTGCTGTGGCGGTGGGGGTGGCAGCTTTGGCGGCGGTCGTGGCGGCGGTGCCGGCGGTGGTGGTGGTGGTGGTGGTGGTGATGGCCGCCGCCGTTGCAGACGCCGCTGCTGCTGTTGTGGCGGCGGCGGCGGCGGCGGCGGTGGCGGTGGTGGTGGTGGCGATGGCCGTAGCCTCTGTCGCCGCTGCGCTTCTGCTGTGGCGGGGGCGGGAACGGCGGCTGCTCCTGTCGCTGCCTTTTTTGATGAATGCTCTGGATTATTAATCCAGAGCATTCGTCTTGGATTATTAATCCAGAGCATTCGTCAAAAAAGGCAGCGACAGGAGCAGCCGCCGTTCCCGCCCTCGCCACAGCAGAAGCGCAGCGGCGACAGAGGCGGCGGCCATCGCCACCACCACCACCGCCACCGCCGCCGGCACCGCCGCCACGACCGCCGCCAAAGCTGCCACCCCCACCGCCACAGCAGCAGCCCATTCGGCACTTCCGGCTGCCGGAAATTAACGTTCAAGCGAACAACTATATGGAACTGGTTAACGTGCAGCGAGCGGTTGACGAGGGCCGAGACATTGAGCCCCCTTGTGTACGACACATGAGCGAGGATGAGTTGCGCGACTTTCTACAGACTCCAAAACGGGGGTCCCCTGCCATACCCAATCCACCGAGAGGGCTGTAAAGCTGACCACCGAATCAGTCACAGCTGTAACAGGCGCAGACCGACAGGACGGCTAGGCTCTGAACAAACGGGCCTACCGAAACAAAATGAAAAAGTAGCATTAGCTTCATCCATGTGTCGTACACAAGGTATGTTAGTCACTTTGTTCTCATGTCACCCGACTTCATGCTACATAGTGTGAATAAACTTCATATCAACAGTGAACGCAGTGTCATATGTTACTCAGCTCAATCCACCTACGTTCCTCGCTATTGTAAATGGCTCCCGAGCGCACTCGACTATTTCGCCAATTCACAATAGTCATTTATCCAATTCAACGTTAGGTCTAAAATATGTCTGAAGTAACATAAAAATGAAGTGAACATTTCTGTCGTGCTTTGATAGACGTAGCATAACGACCACGACGGTCGCAAGTGACCGCCGGGGCTGTAAACGGCACGGCAACGACCGGCCGGCGGGCGGCTACGCCAGCGCCATCTATGGAGAGAATCGGGTAACTAACGCAAACCTTCCGAGCCTTATGCTTTCCTGCGAGGCCGGTGAAGCAAGCCGCCTGCCGATTTCGACGCCGCTGTATGCCGAATCGACTGGTACATGCATTTAGCGATACATTGTTAATATTTTTTCATTACATTCATCATATTATTCAAAAACATGCAAAAATTGAGAAAACCGGAAATATTCAAAGAGCCGGGGCGGTCAAAAAAAATTCGAATTTTATATTTTTTCCGCCGGATTCGTGATCAGCACCCCCAAATACGTTAGATTCGACCTGGGGAGCAAAACTTTTCGAAACTTTTTGCAAAACCGGTCACCCTATAGTTCAGCTGTGGCAGCTTCCCGTCTAACTAAAATCCGGCCGAAAAAGTTCAGCCAGGTGGAGGGTTAGGCGTAGGAAAAGAAAGTACCCCAATTCATAACTACATATCGAGTGTAGACATGTTCGCGAACGGTATATGATTGCTGAGTATATGCAGACAGAAGTTAAAACAGAAGTGGATCCTATGTTTAAGCGTGCGGCAGCCCGACTAAAATACGGTTTATGTCAAACAGAGCTCTGTTCGGATCCCGAGCACGGCTTCCGTGACACAGCTCGGAATTGTCACCCGCTGATCGAATCAGCCACTTAAAGAACATAAATTCTGTGCTGGTTCCCGTTCGGTGCCTCCTCTCGTTCCATTAAAGTTGGAAAGCCCGAAACATCATTAAATATTTCGTTTGTTTGCAATAAATTGACGGCAGCAGACGGGCGTTCGCAACCAGCCGACCTGGCCAGAATATCAATGAAACCGTTTGCCTTGTGCCTCTGTTTTCGGATCTACCGAGAAAAGCGTTTTCGAAACAACACTAAAGAAATACATTGGACCTGATAGCAATGGGGTATTGCTGGCATCATAGACTACTGCATATCAGTAAATGAGTAATACAGTAGTCTATGCCGCCGTTTGAAAACTGACTAGGCCGTTTGCAAACTGTCTAGGCCGTTTCAAACTGCCTAGGCCGTTCTCATACGGCCTGATATTTCAGGCGGTTTGCAAACGGCCGGCTTTTTCAGGCCGTTTTCAAACGGCCTGACTGGGCCAGGCCGTTTGCAAACGGACTGGGTTTTCATACGGTCTGTAACATATATATACTCTCCACGTGTGACCTGACCTGCTGACCCCAGCTGATCTGTGGCTTCTCTGCGTCACAGAGTCGTCCGTCGATGTGAGGTCGGCCAGCCAGTCAGTCCCGTCCCTGCATCATGGCCACCGCCGCCAACGACTCGCTCTCCGCACCGGCGCTGGAGCCGCCTCTGGAGGACGTGGCCTCGCTGAGTCTGGGCGCCCAGGTGTTCATCGGCACCTTCCTCTCGGCCATCATCATCCTGGCCGTGTCGGGCAACATCCTCGTCTGTGTGGCGGTGCTGACCGACCGCAACCTGCGCAAAATCGGCAACCTCTACATCGTGTCGCTCAGCTTCGCCGACATGACGCTGGCCTGCCTGGTGATGACGTTCGCGCTCACCAACGACCTGCTGGAGTACTGGCCGTTCGGGCCGCAGTACTGCGACACCTGGATTGCGTTCGACGTCATGTGCAGCACGGCCAGCATCCTGAACCTGTGCGCCATCTCGCTGGACCGCTACATCCACATCAAGGACCCGCTGCGCTACGGCCGGTGGATGACCAAACGTGTGGTCACGCTGAGTATCGTGGGCATCTGGCTGATGGCGGCTCTGGTCTCGTTCCTGCCCATCTCCCTGGACCTGCACCGGCCGCCGGGGCGCAGCGCCGAGCCGGTGGACGAGCGCGGCCTGCCGCAGTGCGCGCTGGACCTGACGCCGCTGTACGCGGTCGTCAGCAGCTGTATCAGCTTCTACATGCCGTGTATGGTGATGTTGGCCATCTACAGCCAGCTGTACCTGTACGCCAAGCGACACGTAGAGAGCATCAAGGCGCTCACCAAGCCGGTGATGTTCGGCACGATAGACGGCGTGGCGCCGCCGCCGGCCTGTAACCGGTGCCACGTCTCCGAGAGCAAGGCGGCCACCACGGTCGGCTTCATCGTGGGCGTGTTCCTCGTCTGCTACGTGCCCTTCTTCTGCGTCAACATCCTGGCCGCCTTCTGCAAGACGTGCGTACCGCGACTCGTCTTCCAGACGCTGACCTGGTTCGGCTACAGCAACAGCAGCTTCAACCCCATCATCTACTCCATCTTCAACGTCGAGTTCCGCGAGGCGTTCGCGCGCATCCTGGCCAAGGTGCGCCGTTCGTGCGTGCGGTTCTGCCAGGCGCGGCTGCGACCTAGCCGCGCCTGCGGCAGCAAGTCCTTCTCCTCGGACACGCGTCTGTCGCCGGTGCCGGGCGCGGACGTCGACGGCCGCCGCTCGCCGTACGTGGAGCGGGTGACGGCCATCTGACCACCGCTGCTGCCGGCGGCCCGCTCCGCCGACGGGCCGGCACCGTCCGCGCCCTGCTCCGCGCCCCCTCAGCCGCAGACCAGCTGCGCGCGGCGGACGGCAGAGGTGGCTGCGCTGCCGCCGCCGCCGCGACAGGAACTGATGATCTAGCGGGACCCGCAGTCGACCTGCCGAGTGCCGGCGGTCGTATGGGATCGGCGCCGTCTATGGGCGCGATCGGGACGTGCTTGGACTTGGTGGGACGTGGTAGGACGCGGTGGGACTATAGGGACGTGCGCCGTAATTTGTGATCTCACTGTGCTAGACTGGGCACAAGAGACCGTAGCAGATTGACGTGCCTGCTATGGCGGCGGTACATGAACAAACAGCGAGCAGCTGCGACCTCCGTGCTGCAGTGAACGCCTGGACCGTCCTGTGATGCCCCCAGCCAAATGGGTCGGTGTCTGTTGTGTAGAAATTTCCAACAAGTGCAGTATCAAGGATCTGGATCCAGATTTTGGATGACATTGCGATTCTTTATGTACAATCGGTGTTTTTGTTATTTGTGGATCGAAAAAGGAGAAGGAGAGAGCGAGAGACAGAGAGAGAGAGAGAGAGAGAGAGAGAGAGAGAGAGAGAGAGAGAGAGAGAGAGAGAGAGAGAGAGAGAGAGAGAGAGAGAGAGAAAGAGAGAGAGAGAGAGAGAGAAAGAGAGAGAGAGAGAAAGAGAGAGAGAGAGAGAGAGAGAGAGAAAGAGAGAGAGAGAGAGAGAGAGAGAGAGAGAGAGAGGGTTGGAAGAAGGGAGTGAAAGAGAAAAGAGAGGGGGGCATTAATGTGTTTTCGACATGAAAACATACCGCGCATTGCTAGTTGACTTGAGTCCGTCTTTTGTTTACCTGAAGCGGGTTGAATTCTCATCGTGTCGCTCTTTTTTCGCCAATCGTTGCGTGTGCCGACTGCCCCTGTGTTGAGCCCGTCCATAGTGGCTTTCTTCGCCGTCTACTGATCTGGGGTGACCTCCAATGAGGGCCCAGCCAGTCACCTGCCACCGCCGGTCCGCCGACCAGGCGATGTAGGCGGCTCCGTCCCTATGCCCACTGTCCAGCCTCTGGGACCACCCATCGTCCCAGTCATCACTTCACCACAGATCTGTCTCATCTGCCGCTCATCTGACCTGACCTGACCTGACCTGAGTCCGCGCTGTGTGTTTGTACGGGCATTGGGGCGGCGAATTCAGCTGCCTCGGTGCGGGCGATCGCTCGGTGCAGCCGAAACGCCGGTATGGAGAGGTTGTCGTTCGTCCAGTGTTGTACCCAGTTCATGTTCCGTGCCATAACGACCCCGATGCCCTTTGTTCGCTCGTGTCATTCGCCGCTGTGCGCCGCCATGTCTCCATATGATCGTGTCTGTGCTGAACCTGTCGACAGGCTCTTCATACGCGGCGCCGACTGTGTGTCGCCTCTGTGACTGCGACTGTGACTGCTGCCGTGACTGACTGTGACTGTGACTGAGCCGGCAGTCACGGCAGACTCACGGGCCGATGTGAACTGAGCCGAATACACGGCAGTGGCAGAGCTGCTGCCAAACAGGAAGAGTTTCGATCCGGCGTTCTGGAGATGACGTGTATGTGTGGAACGGTGCCCACATGAATGGTGTACGCATTACACTGTCAGTGCATTTCGGTGCAATGATAGATACCGCATAAAAGGTACCTTGCACCAACTATTCTTTTAATACTCTTTACTGGAGTTATATTTAGCTGCTTGGCGCCAAAACAATCAATACGCTTCCTCATCAAGCTATGCAATGGGCCACTAGGTCATCGTCATGCCCCAGCTTATTCAGAGACATCCTTTAAATTCTGTAGACCACACACAGACGTGTTGATGTGGTTTCAGAGACACTAACTTTTCCGATTAACCCTGGGTGGCGCACAAAGAAATGTTTTGGCCAGCTGAAAGCGGAGCACTTCCCCCCGATTGTGCGCTTCCAACAAAGCATTGCCTGCATTTGCATGCGCAGCGGCCTTCTGTGTATGGCTCCACGAGAAACATTGGTTTTCTGCGGCGAAAACAGGCAAAAACAAAGCGGGCCCGCAGTCGTCTTAGTGAGGCGCTGAATAAGTGTTACAATTCTGGGAGTTGGGACGGTTTTTAGTACCTACATGTCACTCCATGTTGGGACATTTCTGGTAGTTTGGACATTGTTTTACTACATGGGCTGGACCCATGCCTACCTGAGCGCAGTATTCTGGACGGTGTGTCGTTTGTTTTGTAGCTTAAGCTGCGCCTGTGCCGATGAATGCCGTTGATGAGCATAGTCGGTGTTGGATCTAAGAGAGACATTGGGACATTTTCTTGATACGCTAGTCAAAATTAGGTATTAAAAAATGACATGTCAAATTAGTACCTACCTATGCATGAACAAACCAAACAAAACAGCAACCTCTAGGAAAATTTAACGTCAGACTCAATAATAGAATCGCCGTAATTTTGCGTCCTTTCTATATTGACGATTGTAACGTGTCTATTTCAATAGCGATCTTTTTCGGTCATTTTGGTTTATTGCTATTCAAAGATATCGATTTTATCTCTCTGCATAAGCATAAACATTTGACAATGACGTCGAAGCTAAGTTAAATTTTCATCAGTCCTTTCCATAAAAGTTGACTAAGAGCTACATACCTATAATAGGCTATAGGTGATATTTTTCCGATTATTCCATTTTACAATCCCTTTTATTACATTTTATGCAATGTTCAATTAGCATTTTTTGTTTAGTTATTCGATATATATATATATATATATATATATATATAGGTACCTAAATGCTTGAAATAGAAATGCATATGCTTCTTACAATTGTGAGTATCAATTACACGACATGTTTATATAGATACCACTATATTATATTTTGATTTTCAGGCCCGAGGCCTTACGGCGTCTAACGAAAACTACGTGATGAGACGAAAATTCCGTAATAACATCGCTAACTGCAGTACAAAAGTGTCGATAATAATTCTAAGGTATAGGTATGAAAAATGAACGTCCCACATAACGACTCCAAGTGCTGGTACTCTTGCTTTACCGACTTGCGTTTTTTTTTCTCCCTTTCGATGGCTAGAACTCATTGTCCACTTCGAACGAGCGCCTTTCTCTGCCCGATCATGAAGCCTTGGGGAAAAATAATACGTAAGTGAGAATGCCAGAAGTTTGCTTTGTCTCTCATTTGCCTATATCGAGATTCCCCATTCAGATAGTTCCTTATTTTTGTTACTTCGTTCTGTATTTATCGCAATGTGCAATGACGTACAGCCAGTCACCTGTAGCCGTGTCTCTGGAGTCTGATCAGTCTCGGTTACCGGGCCCAGCATTGATCTCTGAAGATCAAGTTCTCCGACGGACCGGTCTCAGTCTCCGGAGACAGGTCGGCCTCGGTCTCCGATGGACCAGTCTGTCTCCGACGGACCGGTCTCAGTCTCCCGGGGACGGTGTCGGTCTCGGTCTCCGATGGACCACTGTCGGTCTCAGACGGACCGATCTCGGTCTCCCGGGGACGGTGTCGGTCTCTGTGCCACCGCCGCCGGCCGCGCGGCTCCGTTTCATTTCGGTCACCGGCGGCCGCTCAGCCGGAACAGCGCTGCCGGCGCCCGCACAATATCGCCCCGGGAGAGGCGCCGCCGCCGGCGCAATAAGGCCGACAGAGCCGGCGCCGATGTGCCGCTGAGTGGCGCAATCTGGACGGAGCCGCACTGCGGCGGGATTGTCGCCGACAGGTGCCGTCTGGACTGAGACCAATACGGCGGCCGGCTGAGGGGAGATGATCGCGGATGAGGAGGATGAGCGGCAGGGGAGGGGGAGGGTAGGAGATGCCAAAGTCGACATTACCGCCGACAACTTGGTCTTCAGGTGTCAAACGCTTTCATATATCATGACGAATCACTTTACCAGCTTTATCGTCACTTAGTTCAAACAATGAGGCAGGTAAATAGGTATAGGTATGTTACTTTCAAATATCTGATCACGAATTGTTACGCGATTCGCTCACTTATCAAAGCGTCAGTGCAGTTGCTACTTACCTTTGGCTGTTTGAGTTTCTAGACTGATTTTGGTGCACTTTTTCCCTGCTCATACTGACCTCGCATTATATCTATCGTTGAGTTCAATTGAAAACACGGAAAAGTCACACCTAAATGCATACCTTCGTATAATGATGTTCAACGGTTTTTCGAAAACCTGTTATATTTTGTCGAAAAGTGGCCCAAGAGTCAGTCTAGTTACTTATGGGACGTTTATCGTAGGGATGTACCTACATGACTAAGGACTTTTTTACGCTTCTCAACAACCTGGGCAATGCCAATGGGCATGCTATGCTTGGATCACCTGGCATGGTTAGGTATGTAAATATATGTTAGTATTAACGTAAAATATTCACATTAACCCGAGCTGAGCTATGGAGGGCGTTTTTACGCCCCCCACCCTCAGGTTTTTCGCGAATATCTCATGAACAGCGGTGCTGCGCGCCGCCATTTTGGTACATCTGTTCATACATCTTTTCCGCACATGTTAAAATTTCAGACCCAGGTCGGTCACCACGTCACGTCGAGTGACCTTAGCTCAGAAAAAGTTCAAAGGCTTGCTATAGCTGCACCGACTCAACGACCACTTTGAAACTCTCGGCGATTGATAAGAATAACATTACCTATGAATAACATGTTGGTATTTCGGTTTTTTATATCTGTGACCTAAGGTCAGGTCAATTTTGCGACCTCTCCATTATAAGTCAATGGGAGAAAATTGAAATGCACGTCGTTTGGACGAATGTCGTTCTGAACCCTCTCAAACATCAGTGCAATAGGTGAACATGACACACTGAATCGGAAAAATGCACCTCTGACCCCTTTGTGTGAACCTGAGGTCTTCTCAGGTTATGGCCAGTAGCGGTGGAAACCTGCAATTAAAGGAGGGGGGGGGGGCACTGCCGACTTTTGGTCCCATTTTTTTCCATGCAACGCCCATAGGGCTAATGTTAAAATGCCAAAATCAAAGGGGGGCACGGTGCCTCGGTGCCCTCCCCGTTCCGCCACCTATATGATGAAACGTCACCAACATTTTTTTATATTAACTATCACTTTTGATAGAGACGTGCTAGAGCGGTGAAAACACGTCAGATGTGTTCAGCTCGACGATACAGAGCGAGCGATATGCAACATGACCCTTTCCGATCAGGTCATGACTTTGACCTGAGGCTTAATTTTCAAAATGACCTTTGGAGCTCAACGTAGGTATAGTTCATTCGACGCGTTTCGACGAGAGGAATACGATGTTGTCAAAATTAATATCGTGGCTCTTTTGAGTCAAAAGTTATTACCTAACAACATTTTTCGTGAAAACGGCTATTTTTAGAGTTTTTGCCCTATGGATGCTCCGCCGTTGACCTGAGGTAGAATCTGAACTGAGGTCAAATCTGAGAACAATACCCAGAAAGGTCTGTAAAAGGGCTATCGAATGCGCTTTTCCGCGGCGCTGTAGCTCTGTTGGTCCCCGAGTTAGCCGTTGGCAGTTTCCAAAATTGTTGAAATCATGGGCTAAATTTGACCTTTGATGACCTCTGGCAATCTGACCTTTAACCTGATCTAAGAAATGACAAAAAATGTTTTTCGTCATTACTTTTGGCACTCTTTCGATTGCCGCTTACCGCTTGTCGCTACGTGGCCCAGAAGCTGAGTTAGACGGGGCCGGGGGGGCGGAAAACGCCCCCCCCCCCCACTAGCATGACACGGAAAACTCGGGCCACCAGCACGGCACGGGTTAAACGTCAACTACTAAAACGTCTTCACGCAAGCCTCCTTGTCCTTGCCTGCTTAGTTCATGATGGAAAAATGGTTTCTAAAATCGTTGTTGAGTGAGGCGTGCATTGGTTTCATGGAAACAATTGAAAACCCAAGCAGAGGTGTTTAAAGGCTGAATGAAATCAAGTCGGTACAGTACAGAGCAGCGCTGTTCGCTGACGACCGGCCACCCTTGTGCCTTGCACGATCCTCCCGACATCTATATGAAGGGCTAGCGAGTACTGTGGCGACACCTCTCGAATTCAGCAGCCCCCAAACCGCCAGAAGCACGCGGGCACCAGTTAGCTACCGAACACCGTACAGAAGTGAAACACCGGAGTAAAATTCACGATCGGGCACGCTGCTGGTCACTCGCACAATGCTTATTGCTTATATCACTGCGAGTATTTTTTCTGCGAGTGTCGTTTATTTGTTTAGTGTGCCGGCTGCCTATATCGTCTATCATCCGGCCGCTGACATGCTTCCTTTTTCGCGAGATGCCTGGTTCCCGAGATGCACATTGCACATTTAGTTAGAATATCGGATACGTCCGGCGAGAGTTTAAATCGACAAAGGACAGCTGATTTCTTGCACGACATTCAAGTATTTCAAATTCATTTATTGGTTAAGTGTGTTGCAATGGCACATTTGCAGACATGTTTGGTACTGGTTGCATCAGTGCACGGCAGGCGATGCTGTAACATTCCATGCCGACGTCTCAACCGCGCGTGCACGAGCCGCGGCACAACAACTCGTGCACCGGTATCGGCTGTCGGGGCGGGCTTCTGAAGGGTGATCCGGCCGCCACTCGAGATGGCTGCGCAGCGGAGAGGCCGGCCGGGGGACCCCCGTGGACCCCTGACCCCCTGCACTGTCCCGCGATACCGCCGTGGCCACAAGCGCCGCCCAGTGGCTGGCGAGAGGCGGCGGGGGCCGCCGCACAACCCGCCGGCTATCTGCGGGTCACCGGCGGTCATCGGCGGCGACGGCCGTGTCGGCTCAGCATCTGACTACACAAAGGTGAGTGAGAAGGCGCCAAGGCTCAACAATCGAGCCACATAGGTAACTATATCCGTGAGTTCATATGTAGACCAATGCAGTATGAGTGTATTTTAGGAAAATACTTTAAAAAGTGGAAAATAAAATTTGCAGAAAGACACAAAAATAAGTGGCTATGATGATACATCATGCAGATCTACATTAATACATTAGATAACGTAAGCCGCGCCTGGATATCATAAGCTACATGAAGGCTCGATCGTCCTCTTTCAGCGATGGGTGTGGGCGGCCTGACTCAGTTTCTGCAGCGTCGCGGCCTGCTGCGCGAGGAGCCAATCTCACGGTGTCGTCTGGTCATTGACGGCCACAACCTGTTCTGGGTGCTGTTCGGACGAATAGCAAATGTCCCCGGAGGCGTCTGCCAGGAGTTTACCCGGCAACTGAAAACATTCTTCCACGATTTGAGGAGGTCTGGCATTATCAACCTGGTTTCGAAGCAGTGATGGCGTTATATAAAGATTTTCCATTATCCTTTACCTGTGTACATTTTCCGAATAATATCGGAGGGCAGACACCTAGTTTTTTTTTTACGTGCGTCAAAGTGAAAGGTTATGACGTAATTTTCAGTCATTATCTCCTACCTCTAAGGCCAGTCTAATGCACTTGCAATGTAAAAGTCTGTCAGTCATTAAAATCTACTGATATGTTAGCAGGCGCATAACTAGGAGCTACACAAATAGTAAACGGTAATTTGAAGCGCTGACCAGAAGCGCGTGACCCGCCTGTCATTATATTGCAGGTGTGACATCTACCCTTTGGTGTTTCTGGATGGCACCTCAGACTGTGACTGTCATAAGCTTCCCAGCATACTACAACGCATGAAGTCAGAGATAGAACGGCCAGTGCAGGGCAACATTACTGCGGAGACTGCGGAGAAGAAGTCTTGCCCGCTGCTACTGAAAACGTTATTCACTCAGGTAACAAATCATGTACCTAGGTATCTTCGTGATTTATTTAAAAAAAAAACTTTAAATATGGCTGGTGCAGCGGTGAATCCCCTGTCCGAAACGCCGTGGCCAACACGCCACATTTCCGTTTATTTCGGTAGGTTCTCAGAAATTTGGGGATACCGTTCGCCGAGTGTCTGTTTGAGGCCGACCTGCCGTGCGCCGCCATGGCGCGGAGACTCGGCTGTGCGGTGATGAGCAACGACTCCGACTTCTTTACGCTGGGAGTCACCTGTGTCCGGGTTCCGGTCCGGAGGGTGTCGATCAAGCTCGGGGACCCGGACTCGGATCACTCGTCCTCTTTCATGACCTGCACGGTGTTTCGCCCGCAGAGGTAAGCACTGAAACCAAGTTCAAACTTCACAAATTTCAGCCCTTTTTAGTTTGTAAGGGAGTTTATAGCTTCGACAGAGCGAGCAAAAAATAAATAAGTAATTAAATAAACTCTTGCCATAATGCATTTATCGGTACTGGGTGGTATGGATTGATACAGCTCCCGTCAGGCTTCGTCCTTAATTGAGATGAAACTTCGAGGCAAAAAAAAGGAGCGTGTTTGAGCCTCTGGTACTTGGATTTTAACCGTTAAATAGTGTTGGACGCGAGGGAGGGATAATTTTCATGTCCCTTATCAGATTTTTGAGGATGTCTACAACATTTGGTTTTGACACCCATTATGATACTTTCTTTCCGCACATGTGCAAGTTAAGACCCAGGTCGTTTGAGGTCGGTCACCAGTCACCAGATCAAACGACCTAACCTCAATAAAAGTTACTAGATATTTGCCACAGTTACACCGAGTGAATGATAGATGAGAATTATAGATACCTATAATTATAATTATAGGTGTAAAGAAAAAACGAGCGTGTGCGCCGTTACGAGACGCAGAGATTGGTACCCGATTTTAAGGTCTTAAGTCAACCGGTGACCTCTGAGGTGGTCAAGTGACTCAAGGTACGGTTCAGTTTTGGTGAATAACTTCGCAAAAAACGGCCGCAGAGCCGCGATTTTGGCAGCATCGTGTTCGCCTCGCTCAGGCGCGTCGAATGATATACTTTTTGTTTGGGTCAGGTCAACTTAGGGTGTTGACCTCAGGTCACGGTCAGGTCAGCGCCCCAGCCCAGGTCACGAAGTTGGTCGAAAGAGGTCATGTCGCATATTATTCGATTCGGCAGGTTTTCCTAAATCCACTGGCGGCTTTCCCGACTCGCTAGCTCAATTTGATCGGGAGTTATTGACGAAAAACTAATATGACCTTGATGACGTCATAAATGACGTCACGCAAGGTCAACATGGCAAAAGTAACGCATCTTGCCTTGCAAGGAGTGCATCAAATCACGATTCTGTGTGCTTGAGATAGTTGGAGATCGTTCCCGGCGCCAGAAAAGCAGTTTTCATTTTTCCCCATTGACTTAGTTATAATGGTGAGGTCACGAAAATGACCTGACTTCATATGACCTTTAGAAAAAAATCCGAGATATACAAGTTGTTAGAATCGTAATGGATACTAGTTCCTGCAATTCTCAGTTCCCTGTGAAAACTCCTCTGGCAGCGAGGGCGTTGCGAAGTTGCAACATCTGAAGACCGTGCAGAGGTTCACTTATGACGTCATAGGTCAGTGACCTGACCTGACCCGAAAATGCAGTTGGTGTCAAAAGATCAGGCTTGAATCAAAGGTCAGGTATGCTAAGTTTCAGCTCTCTATCTCCAGCGTGTTCGGAGCTATCGCGAAAAAAAACTAGGAGGGGGGTGGCGGCACCCGCCCGCCCCCCTCGGCCGGCGAGGGTTTAACCCTCGCCGCGAGGGTTTCTTAGCGAGGGTTTCTTATAGGTATCTTGGGTTTAACTTTATTTTGGCAGCTATTTGAAGTTCACGTCTGTGACGCCGAAATCTGCCGTGCAGGGGTCTAAAAAAATCGACCCTGTGACGTAATCAAGAGGGCTAGGTCCAATTTTTTACCTCAGAAGATGTCAAATTGATGGAAGAAAAGGTACTAAAGGTTTCGCTTTCCTACTCCTAAGCGTATGGGAGCTATCGTAAATATTCACCAGGGGGGAGGAGGGCGAAAAACGCCCCTCCCCGGGCCCGCGAGGGTTAAACATTGGCCTATCAAGTCCGAGCACACGGCATGTCTTACGTGTCCCAGGAGCCCAGTCACTATAAAGAAAAAAAGAGTAATATATAGGACTCTGTGATTGAGTTTAACATATTTACAGGCTTCTCGATGCATATCACATCACCCAAGACATGATGTCGTTGGTGGCAGTGGTACCTGGCAATGACCGGTTTCCGCGCTGGCTTTTTGACGACTTCTTCGAGGAGCTGCGCGGAGAGTGCAATCCTCCTGAGGGGGAGAGGCAGCTGCAGCACCTGGAGATGCTCATGCATTGGTTGGGCAGTCAGCCGTCACTGGCGGCAGCTCTGGAGAAGGTCCGTCTTTTGGGTATCGTGCATTGTATTCGTAAGTTCGCTACGCGTATAAGGCTTCCTTTCGAACCTTTGGAAAGCATATCATGCATCATTAATGTCGGCGATCAGTATCACTCACGTTTCTAGTCACGTTTCTTTTTTCATCACGGCAAATCTTCCGAAATTATCTTACGGTTTGTATTATGTGATGGTGGTGCAAGTAGCCAAAACTTGATCGGTGATCACCATCGGTTCTGGTAAGACTTTCTTGTGTCACGGTCGAATGATGCTTACCGACAATATGTACTTATAATGCGTCGATGAAAAAAAAACGTTGATGGTTTACTATTTCAAAACAAAGAAAATAGCCCGAAAGAAAAAAAATCCTTAGCAATAAACATTATACCAGATACAATCCAATTACCTACATGTAATTGGCATCCAACGTTTTAAGGATTAACTGCAGTGCGGCACTTTGGTTTTAGGTTCTGCAAAGTATTAATGAAAACGAACGGGAAAACCTAAGAAGCTTCGTTCTCAGTTTCTCCACCTCACTGGATCAGGTCAGCTTCGACTTCCTGCGCGCCGCTGAATTCGGAGTACCGCTGGCCGACGAGCCGCCGGCACGAGACGGTGTCGCGTCCCCCGAGCCCTCTGCCGCACAGAGCGGTGACGCGTCCCGCGGGCCCTCCGGCACCGGGCTGGTGCAGCCGCCGGCGCTGCTGCGGGCCGTGGCGCGCGGCGCCGTGCCCGGCAGCTGCATCAGCGCCGTGTTCGGCCTGCCGTGGCGGCTGTGGCCGGCTGTCGAGGAGCCCTCCCTGCCGTGCAGCTCGCGGGCGGCCGTGCCGCTGCTGACCAGGCTCGCGGCGCTGCTGGGCGCCCCCGTCGGGCCGCTGGTGCTCTTCACGCGGCATCAGAGGCAGCTGCGGCAGCTGCTGGCCAGCTGCTGGTGGCGCGCGCCGCTGCTGGAGCGGGTGCTGCTGGGCGGCGCCGAGAGCCACCGGGCTGCGGCGCTGGCCGCGCTGCGACTGCGGCCGGGCGCGCTGGCCGCGCTGCCGGCGCTGCTGCGGCTGCCGGCCGCCGCGCTGGTCGAGTGGCGCCGCGTCACGGCTGCCCGCAGCGGGCGGCACCAGGTGCGCGCCGTGCTGCTGACCCTGCTGGCGATGACGCCGGCCGGCACGCCGCCCTCGGCGCTGGGTCTGAGCGGTGCTGCGATGGCCGCGTGGCGCGCTCGGACGGCGCCGCTGCGCGCCCAGGCTCAGCGGCCGTCCCAGTTCAGTCTGTCCGCCATGCACCTGTACTGCGAGCTACTGGGCGTCTATGTGGCGGCGTGTGTGGTGAACGAGGTGCTGGAGCGGCCGCTGGAGCAGCTGGATGTCGAGCACACCCTGCACGCCTCCCTGGCCATGCGGCTCGGATTCAGCAGCGCTCATCAAGGTGCGCCGGACGTCCTAGTTTGTATATGACGGGAGACGATAAATGAGAAATGGAGAAACAGAATAGGTACTGCCATTAAATGGCTCAGCTGGCATATACTCGTACATACATACGGCTATAGATTATTTTATTGGACTTTCTACAATACCGATGTCTTTGCGCTTAGCATCAACGGAACATCTTACTTAACTGACTATGCCAATGTATACCGTACTGTTGACAGTCGGCTAAATGCCATTTATGATTGATCAATTAATTATGCAATTTACTTCGACTGTCTCGTCGGTGACTTCTTCGAACGTAAACGTAATTGTTTTATAAATTGAGACTGGTTATTTCATGTCATTTATCGGTTTGTTTTCAGCAGGCAAATTGTATGGGGATGTTGATTGTTGACATTTATACATTTGCGCCGTGTCATAGTTTTTTTTTACGAAATGAACCATACCAGTTCACATAACCACGCGTTATGTGCCCAGGTGAAAAAGGAAATGGCGAGGTTCAGCCAGGCGCCGAGCTAGAAGAGCTGGTCAGATCAGTGACAGACGCAATCGAAGACGAAGCTACCACTGATGGTGATGATACACGAGCCATAGGTAAGAATACTGCCGTTAGTACTTTCCCTCTCTGCACAAATTGCCTACAGTGATGTGCACTTGTGAAAAGAAACGAAATTGAGAAACGACAAAACACTTATACCCCAATTTGAGCGCCTGTTTAGAAAGCTGAATTTCCTTATTCGCTGGCAGTGCCCGCCTGGAAGCCCACCAGGGGACGTGACGTCGTCAGTGAGCACCCAGACCTGCGATCTGTCAGAGCCCTCACCGGCATCTTGAACAAACTGACGGACGCCAGCCAGGCTCGGCTGACGGAGAAGCTGCGTGGCCTCTCCGCGCAAACCGAGGACGGTCTGTACGCCTTGGTGGACGCCGTGGTGCGGAGGGTGCTCGCAGATCCCAACGAGAGCTCAAAATGTGCCAACGTGTGCGTCATCCTTCAGGATTTGGAGGTAAGCTGCTGTGTTAATCAGTTACGGAACTCGAGTGCCGCATCCTCATTGTCGGTCTTCATCGCTGCTTATTTATCCATGGTGCAACATATGTAGGAGGTGCAATAAATGACTAAATTGTTTTCCTTTTCACTCCATCTTCTGCCACTACTTATGTCCACTGCTGACCGGACGTTTGCCTCAGGTGAAGTCGGCGGGGGCCCGCGGCGGGACGGTGCGGTTCGGTGACCTGCTGCTCACCCGTCTGGTGCTGGGGGTCAGTCCGGCCTGTCTGGGTCTGCCGCGCTGTGACGGAGGCAGCTGGCGCCGCGCGCCCCTCGGCCGCGCGGACCTGCTCGCCCACCTGGCCACGGTGCCGGAGCGGGAGGAGCGGCTGCGCCAGTTCCGCCGGCTGGCGGCCGTGTGGCGCGAGGCGGAGCGCCGCCAGCGCGCCACTCTGCGGCTGCTGGCGGCCTCCAGCCGGCGCCGCCTGGTGCCTGTGTGGGCTGCGCGCCGCTGCCTGGAGCGGCTGCTCGGCGGGGACGGCGTGACCCGGCCGCCGGCCGCCGGGCCCGCTGAGCTCGGTTCCCTCGACCTCCACGTAGAGTGGATCTCGCCGAGCCCAGCCGAGCGGGACGACCTGCAGCAGCTGGTCGACTGGTGCGGCGGCGCGCAGAACGGGCCCGCCCCGGCCCAGCCGCCGCGGTAGCGCTGTCGGGATAGGACAGTGAGCACCGTCCTGAGACGACAGAACGAGAAGGGGACCAAGTCAGCTCCGTTCTGAGAATAGTTCGTTTGGTCTAGTCTGCTTCAGCTGTTGGCGGAAGTGAAGAAATAACGTTTTTATATTGGTGACCGATAGCTAGGTAAGTAGGTACAGCTGTTTTATGTGCTCCGGGAAACTACCGGCTGTGTCGTGGTCTTGAGTAACCGTTACCGTGATGGAATATTCGAGCACAGCCCACAGGTTGATGTATAAGGTCTCCATCCCCCGTTTATCAATATAAAATCACAATTGTAACGAAAAGTGTTTGTCTATTTCAAACAACCTGCGGGTACCCAGTACCTACGCCTCAGCACTGCTACAGCCGCGTGGTACTGGTAGACTGTGCCGCTTGACTTGAGTGTTAGGCGGCGCAGCCTACCCACCTCGTAAGTCAGTGCCACCGGCCCGTGTCGACGGATGGAAATCGGCAGTGACGTCAGCGCAGCGGTGAGTATGTATTTACATACAGCCCACCGCTAAAGTAATGTAGGGTTTTACCAATCTCAACGGTTGGCTTTGACTGGCGATTGTTTAATGCGGAGTGATCGAAAAGAAGATGTCAATAGCTAAAGTTGCAGCTGCAAGGGTGACGATACATATAAGCTACATTCAAAGTTTCATTGTAGTCTGGCTAATCGTTCCTAAGCTTCAGAAGCAGAACATACCCATGACTGAAACCCCACATTACTTCTGCTGTGGACTGTACCAGTACCTATCACCACCACCTGTGTACTTGTATCAGCTTATCCCGACCGTACCGTAATGCGATTATCTAGGGAATCAAACGTATTCAACGCCTTCGGGCAAATGGCAAGTGCCGCGGCAATACAAGTAAGCTCTTACTTCCCCAACGTACTAATGACGAATACGGCTTGCATCATAAATCATAATCACTTAGCGCCGTCACCGTGGTTGTCCATTTTACCGTGCTGTTGATGACTTTTCACAATATAATTACACTGCCTGCAGAGTGCATACTCGTAAATCAGTAATCGATGTCCGTTGCCCAGCCATTTTTAAACATGTTTTAGAGAGTTAGCAGGAATCGTAACAAAATGAGTTGACCGAACCAATTGCACCTATGCTGGATGGACGCTCTGAGAGGGACTAGCTTTTAACCCGCGCCCTGGTGGGGTCTGTTTATAACGCGACCTGGTGGGGGGGGGGGGGGCTATTTTTTGCCCCCCCCTCGTATCTCCGAAACTACTGGACGGATCCGCAAAATTCAAACGGCGTTCGAAGGGCCTATCAAATTTGTCGAGGGAAACCAAGTTTCATTGACCTCGGGGTCACCGATGACGTCACAGGTCAGGTCAAAGATGACATGTTTCACCGTTCACGGGTCATCTAGGGAATGCGCTATAACACCGAAGAAAACGCATTTTGTCGAGATTCAGCGATAGGGCGTCAGTTGCCTAGTAGATATGTTGCTATTAGAGGTCACTGACAATACCAGGTCAGGTCACAGGTCAGGTCACCAAGGGTCACAGGTCAGGTCACATGAGCCCAACTTTACTAAGGTTGTGTGATGCATGTTTTATGGCCAATTTTTCATTTCCAACTCAATGGTGTTGGTTATGAGACTATCAGGTATGGCTTAGGTCACTTTCTGGTGAAGTTCAGGTCAAGGTCAGGTCAAGGTCAGGCCAAAAAAGGTCAAACTTTAAAGTTGATATTTTTGCATAAAATGGGTATTGATTCGATGCAGCTCGTCACAGGGAGTCTAATGGTGGTCTTTGTTTTGCGCT